GGTACGCTTCCGCTATTCAGTTTTTTTGGTTCTCAATTATTCGATATGAAAGCTCCTGGATTAAAGCGATGTATTTCGCCTAAAGTTAGTTACAACATATTTGACATGAATATCATTCAACTTCAATTAAGAATTATTAAATTTAAATATATGATATATTCATTGTTGATAGTAATATTAATATATGACCAGCTAAGCAAACTACCACGATGCATGTTAATTCAGTCAAATTTTATTTAACTCTTGAAAAATAAACAATTATATTTTATATAGATCAAAATCATGATTCAAACAAATGTTATGATTAATCAAGACAAAAGACTAATAATAATAATAATAATAATAATAATAATAATAATAATAATAATAATAATAATAATAACAACAACGGAAGATGCTACGGTCCCATAATGGAACAATTCTATCGTGATTTGTAACCGTTAGATCAAATATCTCTGACGATTACATGATGATCTAACGGTTACAAATCTTGACGGTTATTTAAAGTGTGAACGAAAATAAAGTGAACGAAAAACTGCTAACAGTTGAATTGAATGATGGAGACTGGAATTTTATTTAGCATATTTTAAGCAAGAATTAAAGTCCAACAATTGTTAATTTATGATATATTTTACTCAAAATTGGTTGTCGTGTACCATATTATATAAATTGATTTGTGATGTATACCTAAGTTCTTGATAGGAAAATAAATTATTGAGAGGCAGTTTAGTTTTCCAAAAATAATGGACGGTAGAATGTGACACTTTTGAAATTAATTAATATTGTTGTTATTTAAATAGTCTATCACTAAATTCAATTTTATAAAATGTGTAACCGATGTAATATAGAATACAAACATAATTGTTGTTTAAATTTGAAGTAAAACAATACATAAAAAAAAAAATTATATCATATGATAAAATTGCATATATATATATATTGTGATTATTGACAATGAATATACCAAAAATGTAGTTAGTTAATGGTTTTTAAATAAAATATGTAGAAGCATATATGAGTTGGGAGATATATATTTCTCTTTCTGAGAATAACAAGTTGGCCACTCTGAATTATTATTGAATGGGTACAAGAAAATAATTATTTAATAATAAAAGTGCATATATATATAATAAAAGTATTGAATTAAAAATATGCACTTTTTTTTCATATGGGCCAACAAAAATAATAAAAAATAAAAATAAAAAAGAAAGAGAAAAATAGCAGTTTGTAGCTATAACAGACAAAGGAAAAATCCCATAAAAACAGAACTAAGGTCAAAAAGAGGAAACACAATGTGCATTTGGGTCCCTTAGCTGGTTATTTTCTACTGGTCACCACTATCCACTTTATAAAAATAAAAATAAATTAAAATAATTCCATATTAAAAGTAAAATTTTCCCAAATCAAACAAAAAATAAATAAATAAATAAATAAATTGCACCAAAATTGACCTAACTCACCCAAGGAATAACACAAGAGATTCACAAATTGTAGAGTGTGACTCCAAACAACTAGGCAGACCGATCGATCATACTCTCTGAACAAAAATTCATATAATTGTTATATTTGTATTTAATTCGTTCTTTAAAATATGAAATTCAACTATAGAAGTACCAATTGAACTTAAAATATTATGTCTGTCTAACTACTAAGAGCATGTTTGTTTACCAAATAATCCACTCAAAATGAGTTACTTTGGTTAACCAAAATTAATTTTGAAAAATGTGGTATGATTAGTTGTTATTGTGATTTTAAAAATGTATTATAATAGTATTTATGAAAAATAATTACAGTTAATTTGATGTAAAAATAAGAGATAAGTTATGCCGTTAACCAAACAAAATGCTTTCATTTGATTACTCAAAGGGGCCAATTTTTTTTGGTCAATGGTCCAACATTGTCTCATTTACTTTGGCATGCATTCTTTAAAAGATTTTCTATTTTTAATAAATTGTCCCTTGAAAAGGAGGATAGAAAATAAAAAGAGGAGTACTATTTAGTCTAGGGTAAATTGCACCAAACCCCCCTGTAATATACTAAATCTGCGCGTTTTCCCCCTATATTTTAAAAATTGCGCCATACCCCCTTGTAATATACTTTTGCATGCACACTCTCCCTGCTACGTTAACGCCGTTACAAATCCCCCTGACGGCGTTACTTTTTGTTCAATTTATCATTATAAAATTCCTTTATCTAAGAATTTACGATTATGTCATCCAAGAATTTTATATAATATTATATATAATATAATATTATTTATAT